TGAAGTGGGCAGATCACTTTAGGTCAGGAGTTCAAGACCAGCCTGGCCAACATAGTGAAACGCAATCTCTACCAAAAAAATACAAAGATAAGCTGGGCATGGTGGCGTGCCTCTGTAGTCCCAACTACTCGGGAGGCTGAGGTGGGAGGATTACTTGAACTCGGGAGGCAGAGGTTGCAGTGAGCCAATATTATGCCACTGCACTCCAGCCTGGATGACAGAATGAGATCGTCTCTAAAAAACAAACAAACAAAAAAAAAAAAAAACGATAAAGGTAGGAGTAAACCGATCATGTATACGTATATTTTTTGGTTTAGATACCTATTGCCTTCTGCTACTTTTATGTCAGTCCTAGGATCTCAAAGGAGTTAAAAGCGGGACTGTTTCTAAACATAAGAGATTATGCAATTGGAAAGTGTGGCTGTTAACACTGTTTTCTTCCTAAAACTCACTGAGGAATGGATCTCACAGAGGGTGAATGCTCACAATCCCCGTGTGTGCTTACGTGTGCCTGCACAGACGTGTACAGAGCCTCCCTCCCTGGAGGCAGGGAGGGCAGACAGGGCAGTGAAGGGGAGCGTTTGTTGGGCTGGCGGGTTTGCAGTCTGAGGACCTGAGTTCAAATCCTAGCCCTAGCACTCTGACTGAGGGACCCCATCTCTCCAATGGAGTTGCAAACAGAGCCTTATATCTGACCAGATCTGGGAGCTTTCCTGGCTGCTGTCACGTGCGAGAGGTGGGATGAGGTGCAGTTTCACAGGGGCTGAGATGGGCCTTGGAATCCAAAGCCTGCCCCATCAGGCACCCTGCCCCACGCCTCTCCCATCCGGGTCATGCGGAACCTGCCTAGTGAGTTGCTGCACAGGGACTGTCCCAGGGCCACAGCCAGGGTGCAGGTAGCCAGCAGCCGGGACTGAGCAGGGGCCTGATCCCAGCCTCCCTGTGACTCTGACCACCTCCCTGGGAAGCTGGCCCTTCCCAGTGGCGTGCTCCAGGCACAGCTGTCCAGTGACACGCACAGTCCACAGGTATTAGGAAACTAACGGTGCACGGCCAGTACCAGGCGCACATTCCTGCCCAAGGGGACAAGCCATGCTCAGTGTGGGGTGGCGGGAGCCCAAGCCACACTGAGCACCCCTTGGGCCCTTGGGCAGGTAAATAAGGGAGGGATCCGTGCTTAGTCCTGAGAGTCTGACTCCAAGGCCTGGGCTTCTCACCCCTGAATTACTCCCTAAGATCAACCCAGACAGGCACTCCCTGGGACCCTGGCACTGCCAACTCCAATTGGAAGACAAGGACTGGAAGCCCAGCCTGTCCTTAGGGGGCCTGGAATCTGGGAGCAGCGTGGGTGTGCAAACAGACTGTCACTGCACAGAGCCGACAGATGAGCCGGGCACTAACAGGAGCCCTCCTGTCTGCCCTCCTCCCGGACCAGCTCGCCAGGGCCATGCTGCTTACCCTTCACCTGATCACAATTTTGTCCTCTGCCCGGGTGGCTCCGCTGAAAGGTCCCAAATTCCTCTTTTTATTTATTTTTTTATTTATTTATTTATTCTTTTTTTTTTGAGACGGAGTTTCGCTCTTGTTACCCAGGCTGGAGTGCAATGGCGCGATCTCGGCTCACCGCAACCTCCGCCTCCTGGGTTCAGGCAATTCTCCTGCCTCAGCCTCCTGAGTAGCTGGGATTACAGGCACGCGCCACCATGCCCAGCTAGTTTTTTGTATTTTTAGTAGAGACGGGGTTTCACCATGTTGACCAGGATGGTCTCGATCTCTCGACCTCGTGATCCACCCGCCTCGGCCTCCCAAAGTGCTGGGATTACAGGCTTGAGCCACCGCGCCCGGCAATTCCTCTTTTTAAAAGGACCTGTCATTTTCCAGAGGCTTCCGGCTCTGGCCCTTCCTGCATCTGAAGTGCAGTTTTTGGGGGTGCACAGAGTCCAAGGTCTCCACAGTGGACATCAGCGCTCCCCCTCGGCAGAGGTTCTGTCTGTGAGTCCTCACTGGGCTTTTTCCAGACCAGAAGAGACATGAGGGAAATTCATGAAGACCAATGGTGTTTGGGTTTTGAGATGCTGACTAGCTGCTTCGTTAGGATGTCAGGTTTTAATGATGGGAAGGAAATCTGTGGGAAATGGCTTCTGTGTCTGGGAAGTTTCCAGTGCAGCAGGCAGCAGCCCCATCCAGACCCGGCTGAAACGTGTGCTCCCCACCCCCACTGCAGTAGCCTCGAGTATAAAGCGTTCAGCCTGGAGGTGTCCTGTCCCTTCGCATCCCTTCTCCCAAGGCCTGGCAGAGGATGGCAGAACCAATACCATCATTTTCACAGGGAAACAAGTTGAGCAGGGTAATTTCAGCATCACGTGGTGTCCTAGTTTTGTTAAATTATTCCTAGGGGTGATGGGTGGAAAAGCGGCTGAACCCAGAGCCCACTCGGGGAAGCGAGTCCATTTCCCACCAGTCAGACCAGGGACAGACATGGAATCAGGGACAGGGGCAGCTTTTGCCAGCCCTCCCCAAACTGGCAACCAAGGGATGTGTCTTCTCCTCAGCCCCAACCTTGCCTGTAGCAGAGCCTTTCCAAGCAACTGTTCCCCACAGTCACTCATGGAGGTGGCTTTGCAGAGGTAGGGGCCGGGCCTCCCTTCTCGATGCCCAGATGTATATAGACTGGTGAGGTCCAGGGCTCTGAGAACAGCCAGATGTTGCAAGCAAGGTTCTGAGGGCATTCGTATCTGGGCATATTGCCAGGCTTTATCCGTTTTTGCAAAGGGGTTATGACCCCAAAGCAGCTGAGAGGCACTGATCAGAACCTCCCACCCTTGGCTTCCTTATTGGACTCCTACTAAACAACTTTGTAATTTCTTACCACAGTTACTTTCTAGCCAGCATGGGGGAAATTGCCTAAACTTCTAAAGGAACCAGGCTCGTGCAGAATGCATTAGTGGTGCGGTCGCGCTGTTCTCGCTAGCAGCCACAGACACAAGTTATTCTGGGTTGGAACATGCCGGCAATGCAGAGGATACCATCACATTATTTCATTCATGTATAAGGAGGAAAAAGGAAACGCAGTCCCTTTTTAACATGGTAATAGTTCCAGCTTATTTGATTTGTCTGTTGGTTTTGAATAAAGAAAAGATCATCCTCCTGCTCTCTTTGTGAACTGAGACAGACGTGAGTCAGTGTCCTGTGACCTTCTAGCCTCCTGGATCTCTTTGCTGTCCTCGTGGCAACCCCTGTGAGAAAGGCAGCCTCGTGAGCCCATTCTGCAGATGAGAACACTGAGGCGCCAGACCACTCCGTAAAATGCCCAGGGTCCTCCAGACAGGAAAGTTGAACCAGGATATTTGAGCTCTGGCTTCAGAGCCTCTGCCCATAGCCACCACCCAGTACCCCCTTTCCTGAAAGAAAACCCAGCTGTTCTTATGTTCTTTTTTTCTGGAAAATCCCAGCTTTACCTGCAGGAGCAATAGGCTGGCAGCTGGACTGGTTTTAATAGGAAATTTAAAAATAAACCTGGGCAGTTTTAAAGTACTTTCAATTTGCTGACACGTTCAACTATTTTCAAGCTGCTTACAAGTATTAGATCCACTCATGATGTAGGAGGAGTCCAGGGGTCTTAGAAGCAGGGAACCAAGGCTGGGAGGGTTAGAGTGGGCTCATGTCAGAAGTGGTGGGCCCATAATGAGGCTTAAGCCCCACGCCACCTTCCCAGGGGCCAGGCTTGGGACAGGAAAGAGAATAAATTGAGGATGTAGCATCCTCCGAAGTTAGAAGTGCTGTGGCCCCAGGGAGGTGCAGGGCCTTTGGGCCAGGAGGCTGGGCCTCACGCTCTGGCAACCCTCCTGGCCCTCACTCCCCACCCACTAGAGGCGTCCACACTTTGACCAGACGCTGGCAGCTGGATCCCATGAGGGAAGTGGAATCCGACCCCAGATGGGTCAAGGAACTGGCTGCAGCTGTGAGACCCACCCGGTCACTTTTCAACCTCACCATCTGGGCAGATCACGCCCTACTAAACAGGTTGGGGGTGGGATGCATGCCACCATGGTGGGGAACGCCAGCTGGGAGCCGACTGCCTGGGTGGGACCCCAGCTCCCCCCCGTGCTGGGCAGGACTCATAATGTGGGAATCAGTGCCACAACAAGCAGTGCGCCTGCTGCATAGGGCACAGGGGTAAGGGTACCTGGGGACAGCCTGGCCTGCTGAGACCCTGTGGGCTCCCAGGCGACCTGTGTCAGGACAGAGGGGCATGCCAGTCCTTAACAGAGACCTGCCACCCTCCTTCACCTCCTATGGACGGTCATGATGGCCCAAGGCCTGTTCCTGTGGACCCTGGGATGCAGCACGCGGGCACCTCAGTGGCCCCAGGAAGGAGCCCGGGCGCTGGCCCTGGTTAGGAGACCTGCGCTGCCAGGCTCTGCCACTGCTGTCAGCCCTGCTTGTATCTGTAACGAAGGAAGGGCTGGCCTTGCTTGAGAACTGGCAGCTCCGCCATGGAGCTCCCCGTACCCCGAGGGATAGAGGTGCAGTCCATGTGGTCCTGGTGAAGTGGGATGATCTCCTATGCCAGTCTCTGGAGACAGGAAGAAGAGACACAGAATCACAAATGCAGCCTCAGAGAGGAGGGAAGAGGGGGCTTCTCGGCAAGCGGCGCTGCATGGACGGTGCCACGGGGCTGAGACCAGCCCGCTTTCACCATAAAACAGACAGCGTCCCTCTGCACTTCCCTCTGTCCTCGAGACCACTCTGCAGACCCACACTGGGCACCAGCAGGGCCCATGCCAGCAGCAAGGTGTGGGCTGGGGGCAGTGGGCACTTTACTCCCAGGTGGGTGAGCAGAGGCACCTCTCTGAAGGTCCCCAGTGCCTTTTGGAGCCTCCAAACACACACTGACTGGTGTGGGAGTGCGGCGGTGGCAGCTGGCACTGGCGGGACCTGAGCCTGGCTGGCAGGGTCCTGCCCAGGTGCTGAGAACTCATGTGACATTTGTTTTTCAGGAACCTGGGCAAGTCTGGCCTGCGGGTCTCCTGCCTGGGACTTGGTGAGTGTGGGGTCCCCTCTGTCCCACCAGGGAAACAGGCTGTGGGAGGGCCTGGCATGAGCTGAATTGGACACCCCTTGGGAGGCAGCGTGGCCTAGCCCTCGGCACTCCCCAGGGAGTAGCTCCTCCCAGAGCCCGGGATGCAGGGGGCCTCAGTTGCCATGGCAACAGAGGCAGGTGGGAGGGGGCCCAGGATAGCGGGAGAGAGAGACACAGCCTCAGCAGAGGAGGCAAGGTGGACACCAGGAGCCCCTGCACACACAGCCCCCACCCCACACCACAAAATCAGAGGCCCTCCTGGCACCGGGAGTGCAGGGAAGACACCTTTCCTTCGGTGGCAGGCTCAGCTCATGAGTCCCTCCTGGAGCGCCATTGGATTTGGCCCTTTTTTCTCTCCTGCCAGATGTGAGCCCTGTTCCCAGAACGTGCAGTCCCCACCTCCCATGTGCACGCAGTACACACCCACCGCTGCCCTGACACCGCCCTCCCCGCTCCGTCCCAGCACAAGCACACAGACAGGGCTGTCAGACCGGCTGTTTTCAGGGAGTCGTCCCTTGTGTCATTCCTTGCAGCATGTCCCGGGAGTGAGAGCTGCCTCAGCACAGCTCTGACAAGCATTTCAAAGGCCCCAGGCCTCCTGGGCCCACAGCCAGCAGCCTGCTCTAAAGACTTTTGTCCCCTAAGATTGGTGACCCCAAGAGAGCGGGACTTTCTCTGCCAGGAGCAGTGGCGCACACCTTTAATCCCAGCACTTTGGGAAGCTGAGGCCGGCAGATCACCTGAGGTCAGGAGTTCGAGATCAGCCTGGCCAACATGGTGAAACTTCGTCTCTACTAAAAATACAAAAATTAGCCAGGTGAGGTGGCAGGCACCTGTAATCCCAGCTACTAAAAATACAAAATTAGCCAGGCATGGTGGCTCATACCTGTAACCCCAGCTACTCAGGAGAATCGCTTGAACCTGGGAGGTGGAGATTGCAGTGAGCCAAGATCATGCCGCTGCACTCCAGCCTGGGAAACAAAGAGTGAAACTCCGTCTCAAAAAAAAAGAGAGGTACAGCAGGACTTTCTCTGAAGACCAGGTGTCCACACACAGCAAGGACACCCTGGCCGCAGAGCAGCACAGATGGACACCTGTGGCTGCCCACCTTAATATTCCAAAATATTAAGAATTAAATAGATGCAGCCTGAGGTCTGAGCACCGACAGGAGAATCTAACTTCCTTCTGGGTCCCTAACTTGAGCCCCTGTGTCTCCTTCCAGGAACATGGGTGACCTTCGGAGGCCAGATCACCGATGAGGTAAGATGGGGTTCTCCCAGCACCCCAGAGCCCAGCACAGGCTCTCCAGAGCACACAGTTAAGTCTGCTACATGGACCAGTGCGCACATGCTCCCTGGAGCTGTCGGGGCAGCCTGCTGCCCTCTTTCTGTTTTGCAAGGGTGCCCTGCTCCAGGGGAGTTAGAAAGGTGATCCAGGTGGCCAAAGGGGATGATGAGTCTGGTGCCACCACCCAGCAGTGGATACCTTGGGCCTCAGCATGTCCATCAAGCTCCCCAGGACTCAGATTTCCCACACACATGACCCCCATCCCACAGTTAACAAGGAGAATTCAGGGTGCACATGCTTCCCAAATTCCAAAGCTGGATGCAGATCGTAGCTGCCCACACTCGGTGGAGACTCCGGTAAACTATCTGTCGAGGTCATTTGGAATGCAGCCCCTGCAGAGCTTCCTGCAAGCTAAAGAATCTGAGATCTGCATTTCACAAAGCATCCCCCATCGGTTTCCCCCAGCCACCGTGAACCGCGTGGGTCGCAGTCAAATGTGTTTGCTGGGGCTCATGTCCCCACCATTAGAACAGGAAAGTGAACACTAAGGAAAAGCCAACTTGCATGCCACCAGCCCCTCTGGGTCTCTCCGAAGGAGGGGGACGGCACACATCCAGACGTGCGTGCTTCCGGACAGCAAGGCAGTGTCTCAGAAATGAGAGCAGTGGCATTTGCTGAGAGAGCTCTGGGCTTCTGCACGAGAAGCAGTTTTCGCGTTTGCCCTACTTACTATTGGAAAGGTTGCGTTTAAAAATTGATCAGCGAGTTGATGTGAGACCTTGTTAGCTGTGATTGCTCAGTTTTCCAAAGGAAAGCTTTGCTTCCAGCAAAATTTCAATGCATATAGTTTGTGTTTGGGTCATTTTTATTTTTAAGACAGTAGCTGACCAGGTGTGGTTGCTCATGCCTGTAATCCCAGCACTTTGGGAGGCCGAGGCGGGCGGATCGCCTGAGGTCAGCAGTTCAAGACCAGCCTGGCCAACACGTTGAAACCCCATCTCTACTAAAAATACAAAAATTACTCAGGCATGGTGGCAGGCACCTGTAATCTCAGCTACTCAGGAGACTGAGGCAAGAGAATTGCTTGAATCCAGGAGGCGGAAGGTGCAGTGAGCCAAGATCACATCACTGCATTTCAACCTGGGCGACTGAGTAAGACTCTGTCTCAAAAAAAAAAAAAAAAAAAAAAAAAAAAAAAAAAAGACAGTAGCTGATTATAGAATGATTTGCCCCTTGCTTGGAAGTTGCTGGATAGGCTCTATCACAGGGTGAAGTCTTGAGTTATTAAGGCAAAAGGAATCACCTTACCTTACCCATCAGATTGGTTCGGTTGGAGCCTAGGGGCCTCTGTGGTTCTCTGTGAATCAGCCTTACCTGACAGCCGCATTTCCCTTTCCATGTGGTTTCTAAAGCAGGATGGAAGAATTCTGTAGAAGGGGGTAACTTCATCTCCGAATAGTATTAGCTGTGTGCCTCTGATGTCCTCATGGGAAAGATATAAACAAGCAGACTAGACCCACCCAGCGAGGTGACATTTTCACCAGCAAACCGACCACACCCTCGGAGCACTGATATTCGAATGGCCCAGGGACAGCCCCACTGGCGCGGGTCTCTGTGGTGTCCCCACCAGGAACAGTAATGGACATGTGTGAAGGTATTGGAGGTCATTTCTAGATGACACCAAGCTGGAAGGACAGAGAATTAAATCAATGACGGAGTCGGGGTTCTGAATGGTTGTGGCAGGTGAAAATGGCTAAGCAAAGGGGCAAGACACATTTTTGTATTAATCCTACAGTTAGTGTCAAAAAATAAATCAATACATCCGGAACAGAGGGCCCGCCTGGCAGCAATTCAGAAGAAAAGGGCCTGGGTTTGTGCACTTCAGGTGGACCGTCCTGGACTGCTTCTCTTTTTGAGACGGAGTTTCATTCTTGTTGCCCAAGCTGGAGTGCTGTGGCACCATCTTGGCTCACCCCAACCTCGGCCTCCCAAGTTCAAGGGATTCTCCTGCCTCAGCCTCCCGAGTAGCTGGGATTACAGGCACGCACCACCATGCCCAGCTAATTTTTTGTATTTTTAGTAGATATGGGGTCTCTCCATGTGGGTCAGGCTGGTCTCGAACTCCTGACCTCAGGTAATCTGCCTGCCTTGGCCTCCCAAAGTGCTGCGATTATAGGCATGAGCCACCAAGCCGGCCTACTCTTTTCGTTTTTCAATGTTTTTATTACCTATGTGAGCATTAAGTTTACCATTTTAACCATTTTTAAGTGTACAGTTCAGTGGCATGAAATACATTCACATTACTGTGCCACCCTCAACCAATATCTATTTCCAAAATATTTCATCAGCCCAAACAGGAGCTCTGTACCTTAAACAATAACTCCCCATCCCCTGGTCACCTCTAATCTACTTCCTATCTCAATGAATTCTGCAGCCAATTTGTATAAATAAAGTTTTATTGGGACATAGTCACACCCATCATTTACACTTTTCGGCTGCTTTCACTACACAAGGGCAGAGCTGAGTAACTGCAACAGGCTCTGGCCCGCAATGCCTGAAGCATTCACCGTGTGGCCCTTTACAGAAAACGTTTGATGTCCCCTGTGCTATGGGCCGCAACAGCTGTGCCCTGCAGTGTCTGCAGGGCTGTCGTTCGAACAGCAGCTCAGCCCAATTCTATACCACACCAGGGACAAATGAAATTTTGCCCAGGAGTGGAACAAACCACCTGGTGGGGCAGGAATGACAGCCACCCTCACGTGGCACAGGACAGAGCCCACAGTTTGTAGGACACCATCACATTCTCAGCCGGTGCTGCTCACAGGAGCCCATGAAGGGACCAGACCACGCTAGGAATCCTAAGATGATGAGGCACCTGTCGGAGCCGCCACGGTGGCTTCAGGTCTCCAAACCTCCCATTGGTAGGTGGCCTTTCTGTGGCCTCACACTCCCCATTAGAAGCATGTCTTCAAGACAAGCTGGACAATAAAGATGTAACAGAAGGAGTGGCTGAGAACCTTACACTCACTATCTCAGCTAATCCTCCATCGCCCCAGGGAGGCAGGTGCTATTCCTAGTTCAAGGAAGCTGAGCCTTAGGCCATAAACAGGTGCAGCAGTCTCACCTGGCCACTGGCCACCAGGGTCCCACCTGGTGCTCTTTGCCTCAAAGCTCGTGGCCAGCACTCAGCTCTGGGGTAACTGTACTGGGGTAGGGGTGGATTCCTTTGTCCCAGACGGGGGTGACAGGGAGGTGGCCTGTATGTCTCCCAGCTTCCTTCTGACTTCAGTGGCTGGGACCCAGATACTGGAAGGAACCAAAAAGTCACAAAATAAAGGCTCCGTAAAATGAACCAGGATGCAGCCACAGCACGCAGGTCTTTAAAGAACATCACGGGAAAGGCCCATGAGAGCAAACGGAAAAGCGGCATAGACAGCGGTGTATGGAGGAGAGCCACGGTTCTCCAGGGAGGGGGAGGAAGAACCCGGAGAAGTTACAGCAAAATCAGAGCCGTAAAAATAAATAAAACAGTAAGAAAGCACAACCCCTGCGGTGCTGGGTCCCTCCCTGTCTTTCTTGCCTCTGAGCCTCCCAATCCCAGGTGCCAACCTGGAGGCAGCCGGAATTGTGCTGTGGCTTTGTTTTTCTGAGGGACAGGTGAGGTGAGGGTTGGTGGCTGCTGTGCCAGCCTCTGCTGATCCCGCTGCCTGCGCGCCCTTGGGGGTCTGTGGTGACCACAGGTTTCTGTGTTTGGCCAGGCTTTCCTCCCTGGAGGGAGCCAGGTGTGCTCAGGACCCCCATGCTCACTTTGTTCTTCCTCTGTGAGCAGAAGGGGCAGGCCTCCTGGTGGGCAGGACAGAGCCAGGAGCAGCCAGGGCCACCCGCCCCCCTTGCAGCCCCAGGAACTGGGACCCCCACAGCACTCAGCTCAGGCTTGCGGAGCCCCTGCCTAGTGCCAGCTCCCTGCCCGCTTCCAGCCTCTTTCCAGTCACTCTTTCTAGAGAGGGCGACAGGGTAAAGAAGCAGGACACAGTCTCCAGTGGTCGCGCATGCTGTGGAGAGGGCGTGAGCTGCCCGTGGCTGCTGTAACAAATAGCCACCAATGTGCAGCTGAAAACAGCAGCAACGTATTCGCTCACAGCTCCGGAGGCTGGAGATCCAAACTCGGTATCCCTGAGCCTAAGTCCAGAAGTCAGCCGAGCTGGGCTCCCTTCTCCAGGCCGGGACCCTTCCCGGCTTCTTCAGCATCCGGCACTGCTGGCCTTCCATGGCTTGTGGCTGCATCCCCAGGCTCTGCCCCTGTGGGCAGCTTTCCTTCCTCCTCTTCTGTCTGTGTCAAATCGCTGTATCCCTTGTCCTCAAAAGGTCACCTGTGATGGCACTGAGGGCCCACTTAGCTAAGCCAGGACATTCTCCCCATCCCTGGGTCCTCATGTTAATCCCATCTGCAATCTCCCTTTTTCTACCTAAGGTCACATTCACGGGTTCAAGGGACCTGATACCTTTGTACCTTTGGGGAACCTTTTTTTTTTTTTTTTTTTTTTTTTGAGACAGAGTCTTGCTCTGTCTCCCAGGCTGGAGTGCAGTGGCCCAATCTCAGCTCACCGAAACCTCAGCTCCTCCTCCGTTCAAATGATTCTCCTGCCTCAACCTCCTGAGCAGCTGGGATTACAGGCACACACCACCATGCCCAGCTAATTTTTGTATTTTTAGTAGAGACAGGGTTTCACCATGCTGGTCAGGCTGGACTCTAACTCCTGACCTCGTGATCCACCCACCTCGGCCTCCCAAAGTGCTGAGATTACAGACGTGAACCACCACGCCCAGGCTGGAGAACCATTATTTAGTTGCCTGCAGAAAATAAAGTAGAAAAAGGAGGGTGGCGAGGTGGGGTCCTGACGACAGGGCGGTCAGGAAGCAGAATCGAGTAAGGAAGCCACGTGGTGGTCCAGAGAAAGAGGCTTCCAGGGGCCAAGAAGACAACAAGGGCAAAGCCCTAAGGTCAAGTGTTGAGGCAAAGGGGCTGCAGGGATAGAGCCGGGGTCAGGGCGCAGGGATAGGGCTGGGGTCAGGGCACAGATCTCGGGGGGGCTTTGGCTTTGGCCCTCTGTGAGATGGAGGCCACAGGAGGGCTTCTGCAAGGAGGAAATCCGACCTGATTAAAAGGTCTCCCAAGGCCTGCCCTGGCTGCTGCCCTGGGAATAGCCAGTCATGGGGGTGTCTCAAAGTTCAGTGTGTGCACGACCTGATGTACTTAGAAGGCAGGTCCTGATATGGCAGGGCTGTCATGGAGCCTGGATGCTGCATTCCTGATCTGATGCTGATGCTGGTCCGTGGACCGTGCTTTGCCTGGGGAAGGTGCAGGGAGAGAGGATGGAAGCAGAGAGCCAGGAGGCTATTGTGAGAAACCACCCAAGACCCGCTGGAGGCTCAAGAGCAGGGTGGGTACAGCAGAGGCGGAGAGGGGTCAGATTCTGGACTAATTTGCAAGGGAAGCTGCGGCATTGGCTGAATGTCACGCTCCAGTGATGGGAGGATGAGTCAAGGAGGGCTCCCGGGGTTTGACCTGAGCACGGGTGAGCGATACCTCGGGGGAGCTGATGCTGCGGCAGGCTGCCCTCCCTGGCCCACAACAGCCCCAGGGCCTGGAGCACCGCTCCCCCACCCACTCTCCCCTTGCCTATCTGACACACTCCTAAACAGCCTTCAAAACCCAGTCTCTGTTGGGTGTGGTGGCTCATGTCTGTAATCCCAGCATTTTGAGAGGCTGAGGCAGGTGGATCACTTGTGGTCAGGAGTTCAAGACCAGCCTACCCAACATGGTGAAACTCCATTTTAGTCTCTACTAAAAATGCAAAAATTAGCCGGGCTTGGTGGCACACACCTGTAGTCTCAGCTACTCCAGAGGCTGAGGCAGGAGAATCATTTGAACCCAGAAGGCAAAAGTTGCAGTAAGCCAAGATCATGCCACTGTACTCCAGCCCAGAGACAGAATGAGACTCCGTCTCCAAAAAAAGAAACCCAGTCTTGGACAATTCTTGACAAGTGCTACCCCTCAGATGAAAGCTGAACCTTGAGGACATCAGGCTCATTGAAACAAGCCACAAAAAGGACACACCATGTGACTGCATTTGTAAAGCACCTGGAGTAGTTAAATTCACAAATTCCTGAGAATGCTGGGGGCTGGGGCTGGGGCTGGGGCTGGGCTGGGGCTGGGACTGGGGGCTGGGGGCTGAGGCTGGGGCTGGGGCTGGGGGCTGGGGCTGAGGCTGGGGGCTGGGGCTGGGGGCTGAGGCTGGGGCTGGGGCTGGGGGCTGGAGCTGAGGCTGGGGCTGGGGCTGGGGGCTAGGGCTGAGGCTGGGGGCTGGGGCTGGGGGCTGAGGCTGGGGCTGGGGGCTGGGGATGAGGGGCTGGGGTCTGAGGGGCTGGGGCTGGGGCTGGGGGCTGGGGGCTAAGGGGCTGGGGCCGGGGCTGGGGGCTGGGGGCTAAGGCTGGGGGCTGGGGCCTGGGGCTGGGGCTGGGGCTGGGGCTGGGGCTGGGGTGGGGAAGGGGAGTGATTGTCCAAGGGGTACGGAGTTTCCAGTTAGGAACCTGACAGGGCGCTGGGCGGTGGTGATGGTTACACAACTATGTTGAAGGTACCTCACGCCACTGAGCTACACTCGAAAAAGGTTAAAATAGTAAATTTTTTCATTATGTATATTTTACAACTTAAAAAAATCTCTTTGGTAAATGCAGTAATGTTTTAATTCAACAAAAAGAATGAAAGGGGTCTTCACAAGCAGGTGTGGATTGGTTTCTAGGATGTATTGTGAGTGAAAAAAATCAAAGTGCAGAGGCATATGGGTGGCATGCCACCCTCATGGAAGAGAGATGGGGGGCGGGTAAGAAAACCCACGTCTGAAATACAGAAACAAAAAATGGAACCCTGAGTCCCCTCCCCTGAGAAGCCCTGCCAGGAGTGTGAGTGCCCTAACCACGGACGTAGTCCCTTCAGCCCGGCCTGGCGCACCCTGCCCTCCTGGGCTCTCTAGGGCCTGGTCGTGGGAGGCATCCGGGAAAGGTCAGGAGGAAGATGAGGAGGAAGCAGTGAGCAGGTGAACCAGCCGCCTGTCAGGAGCCTTGTGCTGGGAAGGAAAGTGCTAGAGGTGGGGAAGGTTCCTGGGCACTCCCTCAGTGGGCGCATCCGGGAGGAGGAGGCCGGGGGGCGGGCAGCAGTGGGTCCCTCCCATCCTCGGCAGCCGCAGCATGGGTTGCATTTGGTACCTCGGGAGCAACAGAGCCGAGCAAGTGGATCCTGAAAACTGAGTTCCTGACTGAAATCACAGCTGCTAACTAACGAGGGCTCAGCTTCAGCTGCACTGCATTTCAGTGTCTGAAACGTTTGGGGCTGAGTGCCAACGTTGCCAGGCTGCCGGCCAGATTTTCCATGCCCCCCCATCCACAAATATGCCGCCCTTCTGGCTTCTCTTGGAAAGTCGGCAGATCTGTAGCAGCAGGCCCGCCTGCCCATGGGCAGCAGTTGGCATGGGCCTTCTCCCATGGGTGCCCCCCAATGGTGGCTACCCCGTGACCCCCACAGGACATTGTCCTCACTCTCCACACCTCCTGCCCACGAGGGCTTCTGATCTCAGAAAGGAGAGATGCAGCCCGGTGAAGCCACCCCTGGCTGGATTTCTGTCCTGCGTTTTTTGAGGGTTATTAAGAATTACTTACTCCACCCTGGGCTTGCTGCCAGAGAGGCCCGGTGCTCTGAGCTGCGCTCGGGGAATTGTGACACTCAGAGGGAGGCAGCCCTGTCTGAGGGTCAGCAGTCCAGAGACACCTTTCTCTCCGGCCTCTCAGAGGGAGCTGTCAGTTGCAGAGGGGCTCCCTCGGCTCTGTGAGTTCCACCCTACGACCAGTTCTTTGCTCATGGACCACAATGGTGTCCTGACAGCAGCCCACGGAGCAGAGACTGAGGAACAGCGTGTTCAGCTTGGCAGTCTTCATCGATCTTGCCTTCAAGGTGGCCATCACCACAGCCGTGTCACTTGGGGCCGGGAGGACGTGGCGTTGGAGAAACACAGGCCAAGGGGCCAGCATGGATGTCAGCCCACCACACACCAGCTGTGGGGCATCAGTTTCTCCATCCACAAAAATAACAATTCAGTCCTCATGAGCAGGTGCTGGGAAAGACTCAATGAGCTACAGCTGAATACACAGCCCTGGCTTTGAGGACACAGACTCACCTCAGCAATGTCTATACAGCCCCTGCTGGGGAGCACTTAGTTTCCCAGGACTGCCAGACCTGGGGGCCTGAAACAACAGAAGTGAGGCCAGAGGTCCGGTACCGAGGTGAAGGTGTCGGCAGGGCCACATTCCCTACAAAGGCTCTGGGGGAGGGGCCCCCCATGCCTCTTCCAGCTCCTGGGGGTTGCCGACAGTCCTTGGCTTGTAGACGCATCACTCCGGTCTCTGCCTTCCTAGTCCCATGGACTTCCGTGTCTGCATCTTCTCCTCCTGTAAATCACCAGTCACATGGGGTTTCGGCCCACCCCAACACAGTACCACCTGACTTCGCTAATTACATTCTCCAAGGCCCTATTCCCAAATGAGATCAACTCTAAGCTTCTGGGTGGACATGAATTTTGTGGGGATACTGTTCAACCCAGTGTAGGTGCTAAGCCCTGTGATGACCCCGACTGATAGGATCCCTGCTCTCAAGAAATTCACAGTCCTCGGCAGTGTCTATTCCTTCTGCCCTCTTTATTCTCGATGGGTTTGTTACTGAGAGCTGCCTCCATCCCTGTCCTGTGGCAGGAGAGGGCAAGGAGAGAGCCCACAGGGAGCCTGTTGGACTCGGGGGCGGGGGCTGGACACGGGGAGGCATCCCAGCTGAGGGGGTGGTGCTCCAGAGCCTCTGGGCCCCATCCCGGCTGGCAGGACAGTGCCAGTTCTCTCGTTTCAGATGGCAGAGCAGCTCATGACCTTGGCCTACGATAATGGCATCAACCTCTTCGATACGGCAGAAGTCTACGCAGCTGGCAAGTATGTGTCCTTTCACATGGGAGAAAGTGGCACAGACGGCCCGGGCAGAGCCGGGGCTGCAGGGACCCCTGCCACCCGCATTCCCAGGGGTGCTCACAAACGCACTTGCACTCTGCCTTCTTTTTTAAACTCTGGATGGCTTTAGGAGGTATTATTTTCATGGGGCTGAAATTGCAGAACGCTTGGACACTGGTCACTTGCTAAACTCCCCGTGGAGTCACCAGGGGGACCACAGTCCCTCCGGTGCCAAGATGCTGTGCTGGGTGAGAGGCGCGATGAAGCTGTTGTCCTGGGCGCTCTTGACATGCCTGACATTTTGACATTTCATGTCTCACTTGTGCAATGAGGGCTGCAGGGCCTCTCGGAGCTGGGGAGGGCGGGCTGCAGCCGAGTGCTGTGAGGAGGAGCGCTTCGCATCTTGGCAGTGAACTTTCCTGCTCAATTATGTAAAAGCTCAGCCCTCTTCAGCCAGGCTGTTGGCTTCCATTTTAAAGACTGGCTGTAATCAAATCATCCACTCTTCTGCATCGGGTTTCCAGAAGTCAGCTTTTGTTTGTGAAATCATTTGTTGGCCCTCTCTTCATCCTCCTTCTGCCCCCTCCTGCTGGGGCCAGCCAAGTTCCTGCCGGCCGGGTGGGCGGCAGGCCTGGGCTGCTGGGCACGGTAGCTGCAGGGCGCGAAGCTGTTTCGTGGGCCCTGGGTGGTTACCTGCAACTGCAGCAGGGCCCAGAGCACCCGGCAGGAGGAAACCCAACCGGGCCCTGCTCAAGTACCCACCCAGAGCCTGGGGAACGCACAGCCCTGGGAGCCACTGCTGGGACCCTCAAACCGCCTCCAGCCCCCATCAGTGGCCCTTTGGCCCTCCTGATGGCACAGCTCCCTCCCACCCCCTCCAAACTGGCAGCAGCTTCCCATCAGAGTGAACCGCTTTCCAGACAGATGAGCCTAGCAGAGGGGTGTGAGGTCAAAAAACCCAGTGCAGATACCAAGCCGAGAGGCACCGCCCGACCCAATCCCCGCCTCTTCACTGCCTGCTTTGGCTTGGGTTTTGCTGCCCAGAAGAACGTGTGGGAGGCAGCTTTATGCAGCCCCCATGGATGGGGCCAGGCACACCCCATGTCACAGCAGCCCACACTCTTGTCTTCTGTCACTCGCAGTTTCCATGTTCCGATGTTTAACTGGACACCCAGAGCTGGTGAGCTGGGCAAGCTCACTGGGTCTCCGGCAGCCTCAGGCCCCTCAGAAGCAGCTTGCCAGAAAGCCCGGGAGTCAGGGAGCAGCTTCCCCTCAGGTCACCATTACTGTGGGATCTGTCCCCTGCTCCTGGGCTGGCCACTGCGGTCCCTCTGTCCAGCTCAGAGCTGAGCCCCCAGTGGATGCCCATCAGTGCCCTACAGGGAAGCTGGGCACTGCGTGCCAGGCATAACCAGGGAGAAACTTCTCTGGGCGGTTTGGGGGAGGGCGAGAAGCAGCTTGCAGGGGACCAAGCCTGTACCTTCCTGAGGCCCCCTGCTTCTCCTGCTGACACTCAGTTTTCACGCTTCTCAGAGAGCTGCAGGATTTCTGGGTCCCCCAAACAGATGTGGGTCCCATCAAATTCACAGCCAGAGCCACATGCCACAGGCTTAAGTAATGCCCTGTCTGCCGCTCCTGTGCCCCAGGGACCACTGCTAGCTTTTCTCTCTTCCAAGGGCTGAGTGAAGTTTCGGTGCATCTTGACCATAAACGAGTAGCATTCAGCGCGCGTGCTAAGCAGCTTGCAGATCAGAGCCCATTCTTTCTGAGTGGATGACTCAGGCGCTTTTGTAAGTGGAATGTAGCACAGGGTATGGATCATTCTCCGTCTGTTGTTTTTATTCAGAAACATTTTGCTACAAGCAGAAAGTTCTTCAAAGTTAATCCAGTGCTGCTGTGCCAAGCGAGGCTGGAAGGCCGCCCATGCCCCCAGCTGGCCTGAGTTTGGTTCAGGACCCAGAGTGATGCCAAACAAGACAGACAGTAGTCGGCCCAGCATCTGACTCTGCTGTTCAAACGCAGAAAATGAGAGGGACACGTGCACCCACACACGTGCACACACCTGTGCACATGTATGCACACATGTACACACACACACATATGCAAGCAGGCACGTCTGCTGGAAATCTAGCCCTTGGCCCTGAGTACAGGTTGATTGTCTCTCAAAACAGAGGATGCACTTGATGAATAATTTACCTTTAAAAACAGATACTTGGCCAGGCACTGTGGCTCACACCTGTAATCCCAGCACTTTGGGAGGCAGAGGTGGGCGGATCACTCAAGGTCAGGAGGTCAAGACCAGCCTGGCCAACATGGTGAAACCCCATCTCTACTAAAAATACAAAAAATTAGCTGGGCGTGGTGGTGGGTGCCTGTAGTTCCAGCTACTCAGAAAGCTGAGGCAGGAGAATGGCTTAAACCCAGGAGGTGGAGCTTGCAGAGAGCCGAGATGGTGCCACTGCACTCCAGCCTGGGTGACAGCGAGACTTCATCTCAAAAAAAAAAAATTCTTGTCTGGAAATTTTGCCCACCTAATGTTGCCAGGCATTTTCCCTGGTGAATTTTCAGCCAACTAGGAAATGGGACACTGGCCTTGCCAGGCACGACAGCAGCACCTTCCTTCTCTGTGAGAGCTGGGGCTGCCCCTGCCTAGACCAGCGCCTGCCGGGGCACATGCCCACAGTCATCCTAGCTGGGGTAGCTGGGGCAGTAACACCGCTGCTCCTGCCCCCTCGGGCTCCGGAATGAGCTACTGAGCCAAAGCAGGTGTTAACAGCCTGACTCTCTGGCCCCAGTGACATTTCCACAGAAGGAACCAAGTGGCCGGTGGTCACGGTGGGCCTGGGTTTGATTTTTCTGTTTGGCTGTGATGCGATCTCAGTGTTTGTTTTTTGCAGGGCTGAAGTGGTGCTGGGAAACATCATTAAGAAGAAAGGATGGAGGTAATGACTCCACCCTCTGCGGTCTGTCCCGGGTGGGTGCGTAGCAAACTGTCCCCAGGTCCGCCTCATCGGGCCATGGTGCAGGCTTCGTAAGGCCGCCAGGTCCCCACATTTTTCTTGATGGGAAGTGGAGAGGAAAATTAAGTTCTCCAAGAGAAGAAGGTGACTGCTTGAGAAAGAAGCTGAGGGGAGGTGGGATACCTTCTCCACCCCCACCTTAGCCTTCACCCCCTCCTTAGTCTCCACCCCCTCAGTCTCCACCCCCTCCTTAGCCTCCACCCCCTCCTTAGTCTCCACCCCCTCCTTAGTCTCCACCCCCACCTTAGTCCCCACACCCATATTAGCCTCCACCCCCACCTCAGCCTCCACCCCTCCTTAGCCTCCACCCCCTCCTTAGTCTCCACCCCCACCTTAGTCTCCACCCCCACCTTAGTCTCCACCCCCCTTAGTCTCCACCCCCACCTTAGTCTCCACCCCCACCTTAGTCTCCACCCCACCTTAGTCTCCACCCCCTCCTTAGTCTCCACCCCCTCCTTAGTCTCCACCCCCTCCTTAGTCTCCACCCCCACCTTAGCCTCCACCTCCAACTCATCCAGAGATCCAGAACGCCAAGGTCCCAGCTTGCAAAGAGATGGGCCAAAAAGAGCTTGGAGTGAGAACTCCCTGACGGGCCTGGGTACAGCAGAGGGGTGCTGCTACAGGAGATGGGGTGCAAAGCTCTTCCACCTCTTTAGCTGGAGCACTTAGGGTTAGGGGAGCCAGCGGGCCAGAGAGGGGGTGGATCAGAGAGCCTGTGGACAGGGGCTGGATCCCACCCTGCACCCTGTCCACAGGACCTTAGCAAGAGCCTCCACCTCTGTGGAGCTCACTGCTCCCATCTGTAAGGGGGTGTGGGTCGGACCTCCCTGGCGGGCTATCCTGAGGGTCAGTGGCCCCAAGTCTGAAAATCACTCATCCAGCTCAGGGCTGGACGTGCCACACTCCCCTGGAAGTGGTAGCCCTCCAGCAGGGACCTTGGGAGCGGTCCCCAGGTGCGATGAAACCCAAAGGTCACAGATTGGGGGCCATCCACCCTCGTCTCCCAGAAGCCTTTGGGCCTGTCTTAGGCCAAAGTCCTCACCATCCCCGGGATCAGCCGGGATCAGCACTTCCTACATTTTGTGGACACAGCTTTATCTGCAGAGGCTGACAAGCCCCAGGGTCCTGTTTTTTGTTTTGTTTTGTTTTGTTTTTTTGAGATGGAGTTTCGCTCTCGTTACCCAGACTGGAGTGCAATGGTGCAATCTCGGCTCACCGCAGCCTCCGCCTCCTGGGTTCAGGCAGTTCTCCTGCCTCATTCTCCTGAGTAGCTGGGATTACAGGCATGCGCCACCATGCCCAGCTAGTTTTATTTTATTTTATTTTTTTTAGTAGAGACGGGGTTTCACCATGTTGACCAGGATGGTCTCGATCTCTTGACCTCGTGATCCACCCGCCTCGGCCTCCCAAAGTGCTGGGATTACAGGCTTGAGCCACCGCACCCGGCCTAGGGCCCTGTTTCTTAATAAATGTTTCTTTATTTTCGGAAACATCAGAAGCAATTACAAAGTTGGGCCTCCCTCCTCCCTCCCCTCTGAGGGCCATTTGCTGGGCAGCCCCCACCCCTCCCCCATGGATTCCTGACACCGCTTCCTGTCCCATCAAATTTGTGTCTTGGCAACTCACAAATTCCTCCTCACCCGTTAGTTAAAGGAAATTGCACGTGTTACAAATCCCCGATGGTGTCTTTAGTGAATGCGCATGGAAGTAGCGTGTGGTGGTCCCTCTGCCTGGAGGTGACGCTGCCCCTGCCAGAGCTCGGTGGCCGATGCTTCGGGGGCAAAGGAGGCCTCCTGCTCTAGCCTCATGAGCTGCTTCCCCGACCAGCCAGGACCCGGGTGGGAAAGAAGCTCATCCATGGGGCACCAGGAGGTCATTGTCACCCCCAGATGAGGGGTATCCCCTCCTCTGGGAGGGGTTAAAGCCAAATGTGGCCAGGAGGGGCCATCATTATCCCCCATCCCACCAGGACAAAGCCACTGGTATGAGCGTTGCCTTGTGTGGACTCAGAGCAGAACAACAAATTCCTTCCCTTCGCTCTGCTCAAGCCCAAATCCTCAGAGTTCTCTGCCTCAGCTGTTCACACCCAGAAGCCCATTAGCCTAGCCACACTTGGGCCCCCTGTGCCACCCTCCTCCCTCAGTGCCCCGAAAGTTCCCTCGACCAGGCTGTCCCACACAGGTTTTCTGTAACACACGTCACATTCTGTAGGGAATGTTGCCGACAGCTTCCCTGCCTGCCTCCCACCCAAATCTTACCATCCAGAGCCCCCCAAGCCCACCCCTGCCCCCTGGCCCACACCCAGCCTCCTCCAGCCTTGGCTCTTGCCACTTCCTCTACCTGGACCAAATCCATGTGCCCCAGGATTCCCTGAGCCAGGCCCCCTCCCACATCCTGGGCAGAAGGCACCTCCTCCGGGATCCTGTCACACTGGGCCCCCCACTGTCCGACTCCCACTGCCTGATACACAGTTACAGCCTCAGCGGCTGCCTCCCAGTTCAATGAGGGACCCACGTACCCCGGCTTGGCACGTGGCACACATCAAAAGATGGGGAAGTGCCCAAGTTATGCCCCCGGCTCCCAGGCTTTCAGGACCTCTGTGTGAGAGATGAGGATTTCGGGGGTGAAGGAGGACCCCCAGGGGCCGGGCCCCATCCCATTTCTTCCTTCTCTTCTGTTCCGCAGGCGGTCCAGCCTCGTCATCACCACCAAGATCTTCTGGGGCGGAAAGTAGGTGCTTCCAGCCCGGGCCCCGTGCTCCCCAGAGACCCCTAACCTAGAAGGCTTCTGGGGTGGGGGGAGGACAGTCCAGGGGACTGTGGTCGGGGTCCACCTGGACAGGCCCTGGCCCAGTGCTGTTTCCTGTCCCCAGCAGGGGCACAGCTGGCATTGGTGCAGCCACCAGCTACACCTAGAGCCCGTCCCTGTTAAGGGACGTCAAATCAAAAAAAGTAGCTGTGGCTGAGTTTGCCTTTTACAAAAACCTTGCTTAACTTTTCTTTTTACTTACATGGATTATTTTTTTCCTGGTCACTTTGGTAACATCATAAAAATTATGGGAAACAGGAAATTTGTGAACTGCCCAAACCACTCCAGATCCTGCGCCCTGCCTGTCAGCCTGCGGGGCTCCAGGCGTCCGCTCCGTGGTTTCTGGGGGCTGGACACACTTGGGCTCATAGGAATTGTAACTACAATTCATTTATTCTTTTTCTTTCTTTCTTTCTTTGAGATGGGGTCTCGCTTTGTTGCCCAGGTTGAAGCAAAGTGGTGTGATCATGGCTCACTGTAGCTTCAAACTCCTGGGCTCAAGCGATCCTCCCACCTCAGCCTCCTGAGTAGCTGGGACTACAGGCATGTGCCACCATGCCTGACTGATTTGTCCTTTTTCTTTCTCTCTCTCTCTCTCTTTTTCTTTCTTTCTTTTTTTCTTTCTTTCTTTTTTTGACAAGATCTCACTTTGTCATTCAGTCTGGGGTACAGCGGTGTAGCCCCGGCACACTGCAGCCTTGACCTCCTGGATTCTCAACCCTCCTGCCTCAAGTAGCTGGTTCAGCAGGCACATGCCACCATGCTCAGCTGATTATTTTTGTTTTGTGTGTATTTTGTAGAGATGGGTTTCATCATGTTGTCCAGGCTGGTCTCAAACTCCTGAGTTCAAGTAATCTGCCCACCTCAGCCTCCCAAAGCACTAGGATTACAGGTGTGAGCCACCACACCTGGCCTTAATTTGTCCTTTTTTAAGATAAGGGGTCTCACTGTTGCCCAGGCTGGTCTTGAACTTCTGGGCTCAAATGATCCTCCTGCCTTAGCCTCCCAAAGTGCTGTGATTATAGGCACGAGCCACTGTGTCCAGCCTGATTCATTCTTAATTTAAAAAAAATAAATAAATAAGTACAAATCAAGCAGACATGTTAAGTTGAAAAACAAAAACCCCCACATCCCCTACGACTGCCCACCTCCCCTCTAAGCCCTGTGACCAGGCTTCCCCCGGGCCTCTGGGAGCTCAGCCCTGTAGCCTCGGGTACCTACCTCTGAAGTGAAATCCAACTGCACACGGCATTTAGTTTTTGCACCTAACATCGAATCATAAATGTTTTCTGGGAGGGGTCAGGGCGCCAAAACCGCTGGCAACATCACACGTGGTCGGCCTGTTTTTCAGGGCGGAGACGGAGCGGGGCCTGTCCAGGAAGCACATCATCGAAGGTGAGGACGTGCTCGGGCATCAGGGCCTGCACCTGTGGGATCATCGGCGGAGGCCGACTTGAAGACAGCACAGTGCCCCACCCCTCAGTTACCTGACCAAGCGCCCAATCCCGGGGCACCCGGTGCTCCAGCCTGACCCTCTCCTTCCATCCCAGGCAGCACCGGTGGGGGGACCCTGTTGGGAACGAGGGCAGCCGGTGGCTGAGCACAGACCAGCCTGGGTTTCAGCCCAGCCTCGGCCCCGCACTGGTTGAGTGGGTCTTCAGCAAGGGGCACCCTGCCCCACACCTCACCCACAGTACTATGCAGTGGGGACAGGAAGAGCACACCCCAGCGAGGGGAGCTGGGATGCCCACAGTGCCCAGGAAAAGGTGCACGCCACACAGGCCCGGACTCAGCACTCTCGGGCACGGGAGCGAGGCAGTGGGTATCTGGCTCTTGCTGCATTTTTATTATCTTCATGCCATTCCTATCTGTGTGCATTTTCTTCAAGGTAATAGATCACTCCATTGATAATCACCTAGGGGGCTTGCCACCCCCTCCCATCCTCCCCATCCCCAACCCAGCGTTTCATTCTGCCAACTGTGTGTCCTAAGCTGCTCTAAGCACTCATGGGCAGCTTGGGCATTTTAGACACTATTGCCATTGTTTTTGTTTTTGAAACGGAGTTGCACTCTTGTCGCCCAGACTGGACTACAGTGGCACAATCTCGGCTCACCGCAACCTCCGCCTCCCGAGTTCAAGCAATTCTCCTGACTCAGCCTCCTGAGGAGCTGGGATTACAGGTGCCCGCCACCACATCTGGCTAATTATTATTATTATTTTTTTGTATTTTTAGTAGAGATAGCATTTTACCATGTTGGCCAGGCTGGTCTCGAACCCCTGACAGTCAAGTGATCCGCCCGCCTCTGCCTCCCAGAATGCTGGGATTACAGGCAGTGAGCCACCGTGCCTGGCCATAGACACTATTGCCTTTGGTGGGAGGAGCAGCAGGTGCAGCCTTCCTCCCTCCACACGCGCTAGAAGATGTGCTCTCCCTGTTGCAACACAGAGTGGCCTCAGAGGAGGGCGTGCTGTCTAGGGGGAGGAGGGGCTCCCTCACTTAGCCAAGGACGTGTGGCCTGTGGCCCCCGACATCCTCCTGAAGGCGAGACCCCCCCCGACTCCCCACCTGTGCTGAGGCATTTCACGACCTCCGGAAGCTTCGAGATGGCCCGGGGCCTCTTCATCTCTCGTTCCCTGAGCCGGGCGTGGAATGGACCAGCCCGGGTGTCTGTGGAGATGCAGCCACAGCGGTGACGCCCCCGCCCGGTCCTTCCCCAGGTCTGAAAGCTTCTCTGGAGCGGCTGCAGCTGGAGTACGTGGACGTGGTATTTGCCAACCGCCCGGACCCCAACACCCCGATGGAAGGTAGGTGGTCTGCGGTGGCGCTGCAGGTCAGGCCTGGGCGGTGTCCAAAGGGTCTGAACCTGGGGTTGTGGAGGCGGCCAGCATGGGCCCTGCTGGGCATCCGGGTGAGCCATGAGAGGAGGCGGGTCCAGGGTGGGGGGCGAGGGGCCAGGCTTCCCCACAGTGGGGGTGAGCTCAGTCTCTGGCTGCCGACCACCTCCAGCCCGAGTCCCTGTCCTTGCTTTGTACCCCGGCGGGTCCCCACCACCCCGCCCCACCCTCCCAGTCAAAGCCGCGCTGGAACTGTCCCCTCCCCGCTGCAGCTGCTGTTTTGCAGCGAAGTGGAGTCGCTTGTGGGGACTCCAACTGCAGTATTCTCTCCAATCATGATCTGTGGAGAGGCTTGGGGGTCTTTTTTTGCTCTGGGGAATAGAGGGGAAAACAATTCCGTGCTTTTCATGGTTTTGGTTACTTTGTCGGTTTTGATTCTTTCTCCTCCTGCGACCTCAGCCCCTCCGCTCCCCCATCCTCCTGCGACAGGTGTCTTTCCATGTCTGCTTTGCTGCTTCAGGGACCTGAAAATTGAGTTGTGCTCCAGTTATTGTTTTCATGTGTTCATGTGAGCGCGCACGTGCGAGCGTAGATACATTTTTTCCTTTTTAACTAAACTCGTGCTCCGCGCGGGGCTTTGTGCTTCCTTCCTGCGCCTTTGTCCGTGCCCCGCCTCTCGGTGCTCCCAGCTATCAACTCTGGTCTCTTTAAATCTTTCTTTTATCACCAGGGGACCCATTTAGTTCCTCCAAGTCAAGGACATTCATCATAGAAGGTACACAGTGCCCCCGGCCTGACTATTGACTTCTGTGTCCAAGCTGCATTTTATGAGACAGTATTTTTAAGTACATGATTCTTTCACCCCATGACAAACTTCTCCATAAAATGCATAAAGCGGGGAAAGAGCACCCTATGAGAACACCTTGCAAGCGAAGGAAAGCAAAGTGGTGTTGGAGCCCCCAGCCCCCGTCATCTCATTCCGCCTCCTCCCCGCTCCCGTGCATGCCCCCACCCCTGGGCTTGACTGCTGCGCTCCGTGGCGGCCGGGCGTCCTCCCGATCGGAGGGTGCTGCGATCCCCACCTGGAGCCTTGACCCTGGATGGTGCCATGGGAGGGGTTGGGGAAGACCAGGTTTCCACAAGGCGCAAACCTGTCAGGGACTCCAGAACATGTAGCCCTCACTTAGCTCCTCCACCATTTGCGTTCACTGAGCTCCTGGCTCTTCTGGAGGCAAAGAACACCTGACTTGGCACACTGCCCCGTCCACAGCACGCTGCTCCTTGGACAGCATGCTGGCTGTGTGTCCCCTTGGCGGGCAGGGCCCCTGCCTCTCACCAGCTGGCCAAACCTCTCCATCAACATGGAGTCGTTTTCCTCCTGGAAGAATAACCAGGGACTTCTGAAACCAGGGAGCGGCCTCGGGCCACACACGGCCTCTCTGTCCTTCCCACAGCTAAGGGTAGGCGTCGGTCTCCCTGGGCCTGGGCCCCTGTCTGCCAACTGGCACTGCCACCTGACCCCCCATATATTATTTATGACATGGCAGGAGATGCCATGGGTTTTGGCAGCAGCTAGAAAGATTCAGTCCTCCTACTTCTGTTCAGCAGCATTAAATATTGAGGCGAAGGGCAGTTGTCCCTTATTGTCCCTGCATCTGGGGCCACTGATACCACGCTTGGGCACAAGCGCAGGGTGCTCCCTCGTGTGGGCCCCCCGTCCAGCCTGCTTCTGCCCAGATCCTGCAGGGAGCCCAGGGGCCTTTGCCTAGGACCCTCAACCTCAGGACAGCCAGGGACTCCTGCAGGCTCCTGCCCGTCAGCCCCATCTCCCCATCGCTGCATGGAAGGGACGCCCCAGGGCAGTGCGCAGTTTCACTGGCTGGGACCTTGGTGACCTGAGACAGCTGCCGGGGAGGGAGAGTGAGAGAACGGGCTGGCCTGGGGGCCTTGGCTTCCCTCTCTGGAGCACGTGGACCTTAGCCTTGGCTCAACAGACCCGGGAACTCGTGCTGCATGGTCACAGGTGCCCCGAGAGTGTTTCTAAAAATCTTCACGAGGCCGCCAGGCCTGGAGCCTGAACCAGGGCAGGATGTAGTCGGAGATCCTCCTGCGAGCCTCAGATTCTCCGCAAACCTTCCCCAGCAGGCGCTTTCCGCAGGCCTGTCGGTGTTGGCTGTTAAAGCAGGGGGCCCAGGGAGGTGGCCCTGAGAGTTCAGACTCCCTCCCAGATCTCCACCCCCAGGAGGGGACGGAGACAGTTCCCAGGAGCCTCTGGGAACAACCCCTGACCTTGGAAGGAAGCAGAAGCAGAGCTGGGCCTGCACGCATGGAAGCCGAGGGGGGCGTGCCCGGGCTCTTGGGTGAGTCTGCCGAGACCACCGCTCCAGAAACCCCAGTGGCCTCAGCTCTAGCCTTTAGGAGGCCCCAGGTTCTGCTCAGGGTGGATCTCAATAAAGGGGGGCTTAGGAGCGACCCCAAAAACACAAGTGGACGGGAAGCCAGCCCTGCCACTCCGTGGCCTCATTGCCATTCCGAGGCGGCGCCTGCAGAACAAGCTCAGCGTCTTCCATCCTTCCTTCCTTCCCACCCACCCCACTCCCAGCCATTTTCAGGACCTCAGCTTCCCCGCAGCATGGGCAGAGGACAAGCAGGCACTTAGGGAGAGCCGGGGCTTTTCCAGGGTCAATGTCGTTGCTGTTTTTAGAAACACTTGCACTCCACTTCACTCCCACACTGCCTTTGGCAGTCCAACTTGCAAGCACTGTATCCGACCCATGAGAAACTGGAGGCATAGTCTGTCACCCCACGAAGCTAAGAGGCTTCTGAAATCCGAAATGTTGAGGCCAATTCTGTTTTTAAAATCACATCCCTATGAGGCTGAGAGGGAGCTATAACCAGCGAATTGTTGTCTCAAAAACATTTTTGAATACTGGGAAGAATCCACGGTGTCGCTGGGGCGAGGGTCCCTCCTCTCTTCTTTAAAAGGCCAGCATGGTGCCTGAGATTTTGTCCTCAGGGCTTAGGTGTCTCTGCCATCCACGATTCAGGTTGTTCCCAGGGCTTGTGGAGCCTCAAAACTGTTCCACTCCAGGCCATGGCCCCTTACAGGAGGAACACCCAGACCCCTGTGGCCCTGGGATCACCCCTTGCCAGAGACAGGCAGGTTGGGACTCTGGCCTAGTGCTGGGCTGCTTTGAGAGCCTGGGCTTTCCACGCCCGCTTCTCAGTCTCCTGGCAATGGGAGGAGCTCGGCTCAAAGCCCTGTCCTCCAGGACCACACGGCACCCCAGTCCTGCCGCTTCCCATTCTCCAGTCTACTCCCTATTCCAGTGAGAATTTGGGATAGCCCAAAGTAGGAGTCGAGAAACAGGCGAAAACACGTCTCCCTCCTGCTGCCAATCTGATGGTAGCTTGAATGCGTTCACCCGGTCTTTCCTAAGTGATCAGGGCCCTAGAATCTTCCCGAGACCAGAGAAGCCCCAATTCTACAGTCCAGAGCCACCTTCATTCTTTGAGGTCCCCTCTAATCTGCCATAGAAACATCACAGTCCATCCATAACCCATTTTTCAACATTTCCATAGGCCTGTAACCAGTCAGGGAAGTGGTTTTCACCCCCAGCTGCTAGGATTGTGGTTCATTTTTCTCTTTCATCCCCAAAAACCCCTCCCACACCCAACTTCGGAGCCAGAAGTACACTGCTTGCAAGACATCTTCGAAGCCCCTGCCCCTCCTCCCAGCCTCCTGCCTGCATCTGCAGAATGTCCCGAGGCTGGCCCAGAGCCCCAGCCACCCCCCACCTGCAATTTCACCTTCTCTCATGACAGAGACGGTCCGCGCCATGACCCACGTCATCAACCAGGGGATGGCCATGTACTGGGGCACGTCACGCTGGAGCTCCATGGAGATCATGGTACGGCAGCCGCTCGGTGTGTGTGTGTCCCGACACAGGCTCCCGGTATGGGCTGCCCACGGAGACCCCAAGGTCTGGCAGGGTCTGTGCCTTAGGTCCCAACTGCACTGATGCCCGGGAGCTAAGGGAGGGACAGGATGGTGGAGTGTGGTGGTTATGGATGCAGGCCTTGAAGACGGGGATTACACGTGAATCCCAGCGCTGTGTGGCCCTGGACAAATGGCTTAACCTCTCTGAGCTTGTTTACCCATCTGTAGAACACGTCTGCTGGGTGAGTCCTCGTGGGGCAACCTGAGGGGTCACTGAGAGAGCCAGTGTGAAGCTCTTAGCAGACATCCTAGAGTTCAGGGAGCACTCGGGGCTAATAACAACACCGGCCACTTCCACTATGTGCCAGGCGCTGTTTGGTTCAAGAGCTGCACAGGGACCCACTCGCATGCCATCCTCACAGTGCCTTACCAGGTGATGCCACAGGCAGCCCATTTTTCAGACATGGACATTGCAGCACAGAGAAGTTCAGTAGCATGCCAAGGTCACACAGCTTGGGCCAAGATTGGTATCCAGGCTGTGTGGCTCAGAGCCTGGGCTGCCCATAACTGGACCCTCCAGCCTGGACTTCCCATCATCCACCCCCTTTTCCCAGCTTACCAGGGCCTCGCTGGCTCCCAGGGAAGCTAGGAGTGTGAGCAGCGGGGAGCCCGGGCTGCAGCTGCCAGACCAGCCTGTCCCAGGCACATCTTGGTGCCGCCTCCCTGGCCATTCCAGAAGCCCCCTACCTGCTCAAGGTCAGGGGCCATTGGGGCCCATTTCTGCCTTCACAGGAGGCCTACTCGGTGGCCCGGCAGTTCAACCTGACCCCGCCCATCTGCGAGCAGGCTGAGTACCACATGTTCCAGCGCGAGAAGGTGGAGGTCCAGCTGCCAGAGCTGTTCCACAAGATAGGTGGGCACCTCGGGCCCTCGCCCCGCCCCGCCACCAACCCTCAGGTCCCTCGCCCCGCCCCACCCTCCACCCTAGGGCCCTTGCCCCGCCCCACCCCCCACCCTCGGACCCTCGCCTCGCCCCCCACCCTCCGGCCCAGGGCTTGACTCCACCTGCTTTTCCTCTCAGGAGTGGGCGCCATGACCTGGTCGCCTCTGGCCTGCGGCATCGTTTCTGGCAAGTACGACAGTGGCATCCCGCCCTACTCAAGAGCCTCGCTGAAGGTGAAGGAACGGCCTGGTGGGGAGGGACGGTCAGGGGACAGATGTTTTGGAGGGATGGGACCTTTGGGCCAACTGCATTGGTGCTGGGTGGGGCTTCGGGGGCTGAAGCTCCTTCCCACCTCGGTCTGCTGGGGACGGGATCCTTGGCGTGAGAACATGGAGCCCCTTCTGGCCTGACCCCATGTCTAGAGGGGCTGCCCAGCCTTTGGCACAGGCCCCAGAGAGGAGGCCCCTTCACATACCCCCCCACCTTTGCCTCTCACCACAGATCAGCATTCACTGCTCCGCTACCACTGAGACTCTGGGCCTGGGCACAGGGATAGGGGTTGCAGAGCCACACGGAGGTGACCCTGGGACAGGCGCCTCTTCCCACCACACAGCCTCCCGGTGGGGACTCAGGAGGGTCCCCATTCTACAGGATTTAGGGAATGAGGAGCAGGCCAAGAAAGCCTGCCCAGCCAGCAGACTCCGCCCTGGGGCCCACAGCCTGGGTTCCAGAAGCACGGCCCGGTCCCCCACGCCTCCCATCCCACAGCAAGGGCAGGACACCCCCCAGGAGGCCCTGCAATCCTCTGGGAGGGATGGCTGGGGAGAGGGCACTCCCCTAGGGCCGGGAGGTTCTTCTGGGCCGCAGGTGGCAGCCAAGGCCCCAGGCTGCCAAGCTTCCTGAGAGAAGGCAGGCCACACCTCGCCTCCTCGTCCTGCTGGGGATTGGGCCAGCACCACAGTCTCTGCACTCCAGAGCCTGGACAGGCCCCGCCCATCCACCTGCCCGTCCCCAGCCCACCGTCCACTCTCCCTACTTGAGAGGCCTGGGGCAGGGGCACCGTCCCGGCTTCATGATGAGATGAGCCCTATGAGGGCGAAGGGTCCAGAAGGAATGAGCCCATTGGCCCCCTGCAATTGGGGTCCAGTGACCTGCTCTCCTCCCCCCAACCAGGGCTACCAGTGGCTGAAGGACAAGATCCTGAGTGAGGAGGGCCGGCGCCAGCAGGCCAAGCTGAAGGAGCTGCAGGCCCTCGCCGAGCGCCTGGGCTGCACCCTGCCCCAGCTAGCCATAGGTAACAGGCCTGGGGGCACCCAGAGACCAGTGTCCCTGGGGAGAGAGGGGAGGGATCCCTGGACATCAGCCCCCAGCTGGCCACAGGTGACAGGGCTCTAAGGGGAATGGTTGGGACTTTGTGCCTCTAGGGGGATGTCAGGAGTCCCTGAGGAGCTGGGCCACCCCCTCCATCCGACAGCCATGGTAATGGGGCTCCCACTTTCCCAGGAAGAGGATGGGGGGTGTTGGGCACTTGGACCACCTCTCTACCAGGGAGCCCCACGCCCCCTCCAGCCTCCTCTTAGGCACAGCCCCTGCCCAGCACTGCTAGGCTGCTTAAGCACCCTCAGCCCCCAGACCAAGACGCTGGGGGCCCAGTCGGGCAAGGCAGAACCATCGGGGCCCCTGCCGCGGTGGGTTCTTCCTCACCTCGGGTCTCGCCGACACAGCCTGGTGCCTGAGGAACGAGGGAGTCAGCTCCGTGCTCCTGGGGGCCTCCAACGCCGACCAGCTCATGGAGAACATTGGGGCGATCCAGGTGAGCGCGAGAGGCCTTGCTGGGCAGAGTCCCCATCCCAGCCGTGCCCCGTCCAGTGCATCTTCCCAGGCTCATCCTGCGTGCCAGGCTCTGTTCGAGGCGCTCAGGACGCGTCCGTGAACCATCAGAGCTCTGCTCCTGGAGAGCTTGCTTTCCAGCAGGAACAGACGTACACACTGGCTGCAAGGAACAAGGTTACAGTGTGTGCTGGGAGCAGACGGGCGCCACAGGGGAGAAGCCGGAGATGAGGGGAGGGGAGGAGAGCTGGGGCCAGGGACGGTGGCACTGCAGACCCAGGCTCAAGGAGGCCCGTCGGGTGGGCTTGTTGAGAAGGTCGTGCTCAAGCAAAGTCTTAAAGAGGTACAGAGTAAGCCATGCAAATGCCTGCGGGGGAACCTTCCATCAGCAGGAACCATCAATGCAAAGGCCCGAGAAGGCCCGGGGCAGAGAGGCAGAACCCAAAGGCACTGCACCCCTCCGGGGACTGGCATACTGCCTCAGAGTGAGAGGGGACCCTGGGCAAAATTGTGGGCAGAGGAGGGCGAGCTGCAGCTCAGCCTGAAAGGGAAGCTGCTCTCTGGCTGCTCCATCCTGGAGGCTTTGGGAAGCACGGTCCAAGGCAGAGGGCCCTGGTGGGACGAGGCGCTGCGGTTCCGAGACGTGAGTGGTGGGTGGATCCTGGACGACTGGGAAGGCGCGGCCGTGGGGCTGGCTGACCACTTGATGTTTGTCAGTTTGTGGGTGAGAAAGCGAGGGGGAAGTCGGGCCCTGGCTGTATCACCGGGAAGGATGTCGGTGCTGTCAGCTGGGGCGGGCACAGCCGGAAAGAGCAGTCGGGATGTGGAAGTCCAGCATTTTGGAGTCTGCATTTTATGGCACTGCCACCTCCACCCTTACAGGAAGGTTCTAGAGCGCCCTGGCATTTGAGGGGTAGTGCACAGACCCAGACATGCTTCCTCTCTGCCCCGAACCTTCTGGAACACAAAAGCGGCACAGCCTCCATCTGCCTCAGATGGAGCCCAGGTGTGACGGGGCAACCCGGGCCTGGCCCACCGACCACCTGGAGGAGTCTCGCCCACCTCCGCCCCAGGCCAGGCCCGTCTGGTGGGCGGGATTCTGACTCGTTCTTGTTCTTGCGTGCAGGTCCTTCCGAAGCTGTCGTCTTCCATTATCCACGAGATTGATAGTATTTTGGGCAATAAACCCTACAGCAAAAAGGACTACAGATCCTAAGCCGCCCCCGCCTGCTCGGACAGTTCCCATTCCCTCCTCGTCTCTGTTCGCTTGCTTAAGCTGTTTCGAAGCCAAGTAAAGAGTGTGGTTTGCATCAGAGAGAAACACCACACTGTGATGTCATCGGGAAATCATCTCCCAAGTCGCTGCCAGACACCGCCCACTGCTTCGCCGGACCACATCGAAGTCCCACCTGTGCCGGGGACAGCATTGGTTAGGAAGGACGTTCCAGCCGTCCCACCCAAGCCTGTCGTGTCCTCTCATCCTCCAAGAAGAGACCACCCAGCTTTCTCCCAGGCACAGCCACGAGTCCCAAAGTCAAGGCCAGGCCAAGGCCCGTTGGGTCCTTGGGGCAGGCAGGGCCGGCCTCTCCTCTGCTGAGAATCCCTACCTGGTGTCGGGGGAGGGGGAGAGGGGTCTGGCCCATCAAGGGGCCCCTCTGCCAGGGCCTTGGTTGCTGGGGCAGGGCCTCCCCACTGGGGGTCTTCCTCCATCTGTCACTTGCCAAGGGCTCCAGGTACAGTCTGGGGGGCCTGATCCCAGATTCCTTCCCATCCTTCTCTGCTCCAACCTGCCCCACTGGGTCCCAGCAGGGGCCATGCCTACCAAGCTCAAGCTGGCCCCTGACCCCCACCCACCCCCACCCTTGCTGGCAGGGGCAGGGACCCAGGGGGATTGGCTCTGCAGTCTGGGAGCCACAAAAAGTGTAGGGGTCTGATTTCCAGCTGAGCATCCCACTGTCCTCCGTCCACACACCAATGAGGAGCCTCACACTAGCGAGGCCCGGAGCACTTGGGAGGGGTCCCAGTGGGGCAGGCCCCTCTGTCCGGCCACCCCTCTGTCCTGGCCCCGGAAGTCCCTGTGGTCATGTGCTCTTAGCTGGATGGTGGCTGCTGGCCACATCACAACACATGGCAGCAGGAGGGCCCTGTGCACAGGGCCACATTCCTCTTGGCCTCTGCAGACCTCCTGGAAAGCCGCTCCCCACACCAGGCCGCTGTTCTGTGCCAAGGTGGTGGGCTTGGGTTTTGCAGAGAGCATGCTTGGACCCTTTCAGTAAAGAAGGGCCCTTGGGGTTTTCTGTGCTGTGTGCCCAGGACCAGGGGTCTGCAGCCCCCACAATGTAGGCAAAGACCTCAAGGAACCTCTCCCTGGAAAGATGGCCAGGACGGGTTAGCCCCTCCCACTGCCCAGTGCCTGGAACAGACTGGGGAGAGGGGAGGGAGGGCAGGGCAAGCCAGAGTGACACTCCCTGTGCAGCATGGGCTGGAGGGCTGGAGATGCCAAGAAGCCCGCAGGTGCTGAGGTGCCGTCTAGAGGCCCAGACCTGTGTCCCGAGCAGTACCCAGGCTTTGCTGACTATGCAGGCCAGGGCTTTCCCGAAGCCGCCCCCACCCCTCGCCAGCAGGCCCCACAGGGAAGCCTGTGCCTCCTGCCCCCAGGGTGTACCTCAGCTCGGGCACCTCTGTTCCCACTTTGTCTTGGAGGAGCCACTGTTCCAGAAGGCTCCACCCTGCCATCCTGCAGGGACCTGCTATCCCGTCCTGGCCAGGCCGAGGCCTGGGAAGCTGTATGTGAAAGCCACAAAAACCAGCGGGGAGAGGCCAGGTCGAGGGGAGGAGAGGGACACAGCTTCTGCCATTCCCAACCCACCTTCACGCCGCCCCTGGCGTCTAAACCCGGGCCCCTCCTCGTAGACCAACTCCCCGGGTCTCCACCAGTCCTGCTGCCGGCTTCGCCAGCAGCAGCCCTGTAGCGGCGGGGCGGGGAAGTCCCCTCCCAACGGCGGTCCCAGCCTGAGGTCCAGGTCCAGGTAGGAGTCGCCTGTTTCCTTCCAGGACTGGGTCCTGCAGTGGCCAGTGGTGCCGGAGGGCAGGTGGCCCGCCCTTGCCTGCAGGGAGGGTGGCTGGCCCCATCTCCACTGCCACCCCAGCCCCACCCACTGTTGGAAGAGGGATGGGTGCACCAGGTGGTGCCCGGGGTGGGCACTGCTGCTTAATACAAGCCACACCTGGGGCAGCTGAGCCTGAGAAGGCTGCGAGTTTGCCAAACACAGGGAGGCTGGGCCCCTGGTGAGCTTGGCCAAGGCCCAGGGCCCTGGTGCCAGGATGCAGGCAGCCTCGGGCACAGCTCTTCCCACAACCTGGCTCCTGTGTGTCCCGTTTGCTCCACACCAAACCACAGCGAGGGTGTGAGGGGCTCTGCCTCCTGGGGCCAGGTCCCCCCACTAGGGAGGGGGTTGTTGGGTGGAACCATCTGAGAAAGTACCTAAGGCCAAGGCCAGTTGCGGTCTAGAAAGGGTGGCGCTGACCCTGCTGGCCGCTGCGAAGCCCCCACTGTTTCCCTCCCACTCAGCCTTGTGGCCAGACCCCAGGTCCCAAGGAGTGACGGGGGCTTCCGCCCATCTTCTGTCCTTGTCCAGTCATGTAAATAATGTGCTTTTTCCCTTTTTTTTAACCAACTGTGGGGTCCTCAGCTAATTGCATTCCCTACCTAGGCAGAGACTGTCCTATGCCTTGAGCTTCCAACCAAGACTCAGACCACGACACAGCCACCGTATTTATGGAATGGCGAAATAAAGCCCAAACCTATCGGACTCTGCGCCTTTCTGCTCCTCTCATGTCCTCGGGGTCAGGGCTGGGCCAGGGTGAGGAGGGGAGGAAAGGCTGCTGGTGCCAGGGGCCCAGGGGCTGGGGCCACCCCCAAACCTGAGCCTGCAGCGGAGGGCGGGTAGGTTGGAAAGGGCCCGTGGAGAGAGAGAGATCAGGGACGGGTTGCGCACAGGGTGGTCGGAAGATCTCTCCCAAGCGAGTCAGCCCAGGGGCCCACGGATTGTGGGTGCCTCCCCTGCCACCCCCAACACATTCTTTCACCATCGCCAAGGGTCAGAGCTGCTTGCTGGGAGGCTGCTGTTCTCATGAGGACAGAGATCAAGGCCTGGGAAAGCCCTCATGGTACATGTTTGGGGTGGAGGTGAGAGGGGCCTCACCCCAGCACACCCCTGCTTTGGGCTCCCCTCCTTCCCAGTGAGCCCTGAGCCTCGTGAAATGACCATCTCAGGCAAGAGAAGAAGGCTTCTGGAGATGCCTCCAGCCCCCACCACTCCTCCCTGGCCACAGCCCCCATTCCTGTTCTAAATCTTGAATCTTAAAAAAAAACAAAAAAAAAAAACTCTGATGAAATCCTTTCCCAAAGGATTTATTAAAACACAGAAAACCAAAACATACACACAGAGTACAAAGTAAAGGTGATTGTGTCGTACGGTCTCTGTCCGGCCTCCCGCGGGTGAAGACCGGACAAGCCACAGCTCACAGGAGACCTCAGCTTCCAAAGCTCAACCCCACCCCCATCGGGGCCACCCTGGCTGGGACTCCTGACGTGCCCTGCACCCAGCCCGGGACCCTCCCTTTGCCAGTCTGGGGCTGTGCCTGGGGAAAGGGGTTGGCCCCCTCTTAGCTGAGCCTGGGCCAGTGGGGTCTGCTCCCTCCGTACCCCTGAACTCAGACCCCACAGGCCAGTGAGACCCCTCCCTCCTCTCCAGGGTGCTTGGGCTCCAATCTCGGCTTGAGGAATTCAGGACACACACACACACCCAACGGGCCCTTTCTGGGTTATCGCACCTAAAAAAATACTTTGTTAAAAAAAAAATCTGAAAATCAAAGAAAAAGAAAACAAAAACAGAACGCCAACGACTGGGCTGACGCACCATGACCTGTAAACTTCCAGACACGCAAAACAGGCAGGAGCCGGCCTCCGTGACTGATGCCCGGCCTGCCACAGGAGAGCCCTGCGGGAGGGGCCGGGGCCAGGTCACCAAGATGGCGAAGGTGGAAGGGCATGCCAGCCTCAGCCCCCACCCATGCCCCGTCCCCTGCCCACAGACCCTGGCGCACACTGGAGGCTCCAAGTGACCCACAGTTGACCAACTCCACCGGCTTCCAGCTCCCACGTCCCCGAGCCCCCTCTCCAGTCCACCTCCTTGGGCCCTCAAGTGTCCTGGGATGACAGGAGTGAGGACTGCAGGTTTCACCGGGCCAAGGCTTGGTCAGCCCGGCTTGGGTGAGGGAGCACCCGGGAGACTCTGAGAAGACAGCCCCCAAAATCAGGAGGACTTTGATCGTTTGGGGCAGGGAAAGTCCGGCCGGCCCCTGGCAGAAGCCAAGTTTGCAGGAAACACAGGAGCTTCGGAAGGTGGCTTTCAGGAGGATGCTGCTTTTGCCTCAGGTGTGTCTGAGGACCCCACAGAACTGCTCACTCCACCCCGAGTCACCTGAGCCCATGGGGCAATGCCTTCCAAGACCGTGGCCCAAAGGTGGCTCTGCAGAAGCCCTACTCAGCATTGGTTTGAATAAAGTGGCTGGAATCACAGACTGGTACTTTCGGCTCACACTCATGCCCCAGGCCCCTAATTCTGCCAGCAGCAAAAACCAAACCCGGCCCGAAGATGCCAAAGATACCGATACCACCATCACCCCTTTCGGCAGAGATGATTGACAAGCCAAGAAGACATTTGAAGATCTTTTCTCCTCTCCCAAACTGGTCAGCCCCAATCCCGCTCTATCTCCAGCAGCTCACCCCTCCCGGGCCTCCAGGCTGCCAGCCACGGAGCACACCACCCCCTCTGGACCAGGCAGTGCAGGGGGCCCGGGCCCGAAGGAGCTCTGGCCAGGCTTTCCTAGGTGCCCAAGTCTAACCAGGTAGAGGAGAAGGGAGCCCTGGCGAGGCCTGGGAGGGAAGCTGAGAGGAAGGGACAGAGCAAGGCTGACTGGGAGGAGGGGCTCACAGGGGAGGGACCATCAGCCCTTGGGGTGGAGACACGGACCCCTGCCCTGACTCCCACACACCTCCAGGACTGCCACTAGGGACCTATCTGCTGTGGGCCAAGGGAGGTGGGCACTGCTCCCAAAGAGGGCCAAGCCAGTGCTGGCCACTGCTTGTTTGGGGACAGGGGCACGGGAGTGAGCTTATGGCAGGTCACCGCGCCTGTGACCCGAGCCAGGAGCCTTTGCAGGGTACACAACACGCGTGTGGATAAACCACAATGGCTCGTTCAGGGCTGCCCTTCCTGGAGGCAACGTTGGGTGCCGCCCACACATGGCAGAGTCCGGGCTGCATGTGAGCCTGCTGACAATCATCTCCACCCCCGCATTCTCCCCACTATGCCCACCTGCAACCTCAGGGTCAGGCTGGCCTTGTAGACCTGGATCCAGCCTGGAGTGTGGGAATGCGCCAAGATGGAGGGGTCTTGGGGTCCCGCCCTCTGGAGTTCAGAGACAGCCTCATTATGAGGGAGGCATCTGGGGCTTAGGGAATCTCTCCATTGTCTGCAACACAAGCCAGTAAGTCCCGACCCAGCCTTGGCCCCGCCAGTCCCAGGCAGGCCCTTTCCAGGGAGCAGAGCCCCAGCCCCTGCGGCACCCCCACCCCAAGCCCAGCTGGGTTTCTCGCGGAGCCCCTTCCTAACACTCCCAGGATTCTACACCCCAAGGCACCTTCCCTAGGAAGCTCCCAGTTCAAGAATCAGAAATGCCTTCCAGGCTGACCTGGGACCAGGAAGAGGATCGGACACAGACAGGCCTAGGGAGGGCCTGACCTGCTCCCCATCTCCATCCCCAGCTTGGAGGGGCAGGGGCGGGGGAGTGGGTGGGATTCCAACAGCCCACGTGTGGGAAGATGGTTTGGGGGCTCCAGGGCACTCAAGTAGGAAACAAGGCAGCAAGCCCTCGGTGCGGCGGCTGGGAGGGGTCTGCAGGGGGCACTGGGCCCAGTCCCCTCCAGGCAGAGCTCTCCGAATGCCCTCCGCCCACCGAGAGGGCAGCCTCAGGCAGGAAGCGCCCAGGAAGGCCTCTCAGGGACAGGAGAATGGGACAAGTCCAGGCTCCCAGGGGCAACCCAGCTCCACCCCAAGAGGTGGGCGGGGCAGGAACCCCAGGGCACAGGGCAGGGCCAGGGTCTCTTGGGCCAGCTCAGGGACCATGACCCTCCTTTGCTGGGGCACCTGCTGTCACTTAACCTCCAGCAGGAGGCAAACCCCAAACGCAGCAGTGGCTGAGGCAAGTGCTGGCCCTCCCGGCCCCGCCTCCCTGGGGTTCCACGGTTCTGCCTGCCACGAACACAACAGCCAGGGCCACAGGCATCCCACTAGTAACAGAGTTCAGGGCCTTCAAGAGGCACAGGGCTGGGAACAGACACCTGCTGGCAGAGGATCCTCCTCCCCGCAAGAAGAGAGCAAACACCTAGCAGCCTCCAGCCTCAGCAGGAAGGAGGGGAAATGTCAGCCTGGGTCTCACCATCGGGCTGGACATCGGCTCCCCAACCTGCCCTGCCTGGTGCGGGGAGACTCCAAGTAGGCAGGGGGCCGGAGCAGAAAGGGCAGTCACACAGGTGTACACAGGACAGGCAGGAGACGCCGAGGGCTCCCAGGGCAGCAGGCACCATGTCCTCCCAGCTGGGCCGAGTCCACAGGGCAGTGCCAGGGCTTCCTTGCGCCTGGAACCCATCGGTAAAGAGAGATGTCGGTACTGCAGGTTCGAATCTTCCATACGTCATCTGACTTTTATCAAGACAAACGTGTTCAAGTCTTCAACAGGAAAGTGCAAAAGATGTACAAATAAATGAAATCTCTTCTAAGAGTCGTTTGGAAAAGGTGGCGAGGGGGCACGTCCGGCGTGGTTGTGGGGGCGACGCTGTGTGGAAGAACACTTGAATTATGATGACGTGGCACTTCTGGGCTCTGGCCGCACCAGGCTGGGCCTCGTCCTCCATGTGATGGCATGACTCGGTTTCCCTTTTTGTCCCAAGGTGGTGCTGGCTCCTAAAAAGGCGGCAGCTTTTCTCTCCCATGGGGGTCAGGCAGGTGACCCGGCAGGCGTGGCTGCAAAAGGCAAGTAAATGGGTCACGCAGGTGGATGGCCAGGCTTCCGGTTACAGGGGCGCCAGGGCGGCACCCACAGCATGCAGCTGCTCCCCCCACTGCCCATCACAACCAGCTAGGACCGAGGGCGCCCCAGCCACAGTCCGCCGGGCCAGGCCACGAGCTACACCCAGAGTGCGAAGAGCACCCAGGAAGCAGCAGCTGGCAGGGACAGCCAGCCAGGAAGCCCCTCTGGAGCCTCTGCTGGCAAGCCACAGTTCCCACAGGGACCGACACAGCATGGTGGAGGCTGGAGGCCCCAGAGAAGAAGGCCAGAGTGAACTGGCAGTTTCTCTGAAATAAGCCCCCTCTCCTGGCCAATAACCCCCACAAAACCCTCAGCCACCCTCCTGGTCGCGGGCAGGGAGTGAGGTGTAAGATAGATGTAATGTCTGCCACCGGCAGGACAGCAGGCACAGGACAGGGCTTCAGGCGGGGGCAGCAGTCGCTGACTTCCACCGGGAGCACATGTGAAACGGGAGCACGTGCCCACAGGAGCTCACCCAAGTCCACTGACCCCTTCCTGTCCCACCACCCCAGCCTCCCAGCGGACAGACACACTGGCTGCAAGGGGGTCCCAGGGCCAAGGGGGCAGGGTAGAGGGGCTCCAGGCAGGAGGGTGGCTCCCAGGGCCACCAGAAGCAGTAAAGTCTCCAGGACTTAGAGGAGTCAAGGA